TCAACCTTAATAGGTGATTTTTATTTTGCACCTGTCTTGAAGAGCTCGACTCCTTTCAGCTGGATGACTTCACTCACTTCAGGAGCAGTTGAGTGAGGTCAAAAGCAAAAGCACCTTTTATGTCCAGCTCAATTCAGAGAGCTGCAAACTAAGGTAAATGATTTGCCCACAGCTGTTCATGTTGAGCAGTGACCGAAGTGAGGTAACCATGGGTTATTCATCAGGGACAACCAGAATTTTCAAAGGTTCTTCTGTCCCCCAAGGAAGAAGTGGGCTGTATTCACTTTGTATCATTTGCTGAGACCATCGTCCTGCATGCATGTGTGCAGGATTCCCAAGGCTTACTGAGAAAGTCTAGCTCCCAGAGCTCCACACAGCTAGCGAGTCACAGAGTCTTGGGGAGAATGTGCCCCAAGGCAGAAGCTCTCCAGGGATGCAGTTTTCATTCACCCAAGAACCACTTCCCTGCAGCCTGGCTATTAGACAATGACATACATTTGGAATGCCCAAGCGCTTGTAAAAGATCATTAGTAAGTAAGAGTGGATGATGATAATTAATTACGCACCATTAAAAAGAAAGTCCCTGGAGCAAAAGCATCAAAGGAAATATTTTACTGAGTTGACAATTTCTTTGGCTCTGCAACAAGATGACTCCTTGTCCTGCATCTTGTGTCTGCTCCTTTCTCTCCTATTCTGGCTTAAGGAATGCATCTTGACTTTGGACAACTTCTTTTAATTCCCACCTTTCTCCCCATACCTGATCCAGTAATCATTATTATTAAAACTTCACACCAGGGCCACAGACCTATTTCACAGCATGCTTTGATGGATTCATTTATGGTTACTCTCCTATTTTACCTAAGTCTAAATCAAAAGAAATGCACTTAGAATAAAAAACAAAATCTCCTGCCAGCTCACATGGAGAAGATTGTAGAAAGCAGATCACCAAAGACATAATATATCTCCTCCTCAACAAACCTACCAGTGGGGAGGAGAGGTCAACCAAGGAAATAGTTTAGGGTTCCTGCCTGAAGAAATCAGAAGTCCAGACCAGAAAACCCATCTGAAAACCCCTCCAAACTTTGTCTAAGAGATACAGCCCCATGTCTTTAGAAAATTTTACTTCATGATTCTTTGGCAATATCTTTTCTTGTCCTGTAGATCCTAATCAGTAGATTTGGGACAAGGAAAGGTCTCTGTTCACTGAGTAAAGCTGACCACAGAGAGAACATAGCAGAATCTCATCATGGTCAATCTGAGAAGGAATCTATGTCCGCATCTAGCAAACAGAGTACAGAGGCTGTGGAATCAGGGAGCTGAGAAGACTCT